AAAAAAAAAAAAAAACTTGGGGAAAAAAAAAAAGAATGATCTCAGGTCTTTGTGAGCCTGAATCAATTCCATGACACTGTCGTTGACTTGGAGCTTGGCGGATTTTGTGCCACCACACGGTGGCACTGCCGGGCCTTATATCTTTTTCTTTATAACAAGCCCCCAACGTTATTTCTTGTTACTAACAAGTTCACGTTGTAGAAAATCTGACAATACACAATCCTTTAAACAAACGGTGGAGTTCCACCACCAAGAGATATTAAGCATTTTTGATGGTTCCGTATACTTGACGCTCCATTTCTGCTCATTTCAAAAGTAGGACCAGTTTAAAGTAAAGTCTGAAAAACAAAATTAACGTCCCTTGTTATCAAAGTCCCTTAGTACTCGGAGTACTTGGAGACAAGCATCACTCACTCACTCACTCACTCACTCACTCACTATCATTGAGTCCATTCCAGCTCACAGCAACCCTACAGGCGGAGTAGAACTGTTACTTGTATTAGGAGGCTTCAAACGTTCGTGGGGAAACTCCATTCATCTTTAATTCTGTTTATTTACCAACTTCTGTTTTGAAGCCTCCTTGTCATTTCTGACCTCTCCATAAGGTTACAACGAGTCAGAATTGACTCAAAGGCAGTGAATTTGAGTTTAGCGATACGAATGAATATATATTTTAACCACCCCCCAAAAATATGCTGTGATTAAAGAAGAGCTGAAAATAAGGGCTCAATTAGAAAGACAGTGTTTTGAAAATGATGATGGCAACATATGTACAAGTTTGCTTCATATAATTGATGTATGTGGATTGTTATAATATCTGTAAGAGCTCCCAATAAAATGATTTAAAAATATTTATATATTTTGTAACTCCACTTCATATGTCTTAGGCCAGTGAGATAGTTAGTTTATTGTGCCAGTCTGGCCGATATACACAAGTGGGATTAATTGAAGGGCGGAGAGATAAATGGCTCGGTGAGCCTCGCCTTTCTTGTCTCTCGCTCTTTGATCATCGGATCAGTGTGGGCTGCCTTGCTTGTTCTGTGCCTCAATTTACCTGTGGGACGCCTAGCCTGTGGACTGTGTCGCTGTAAGTAGAGGTCCCTTTAAGACCACACGATTGAAATTTACATCTCTGGAGCTGAGGACTGATAGTTGGTGACCTGCTGGCTGTTTTGCTGCCTGTACTGGGATAGCCAAGCTCTCTCTCTACAGAGGATTAGCTGACGGCCCTCAAGACCTGAAGGACTGCTAGTGTCTCACAACTCGCTCACGGGAGTGAGTTGCACTGAGCCGTTTGTACTGCTTTATAATTTAACCGTTCATTTCTTGTATTATATATCTATCTATCTGTTTATAATTTAACAGTTCATTACTTGTGTTATATATCTATCTATCTGTTTATAATTTAACAGTTCATTTCTTGTGTTATATATATCTATCTTTATAAATATATATGTATATATATAAAATTATCAGCAATCTGGTTTTATCTCTCTAGAGAACCCTGTCTAACACAGCCGGTTCTCTAGAAAAGCAAAAGTAAGGCCATGTATATGTAATATAATAGATATATACATACATATAACATGTGAATATTATATATGTATATAAGTATTCTATTTCTAAGGATAAATCTTCCATACAGAGATAAAGAATACATATAAAAGGAGCTCTGGAGGCACTCTCAGGTAAGAGCTGGACTGTGAACTGCAGACCCTGCTAGCCAGCTCCAGGAGAGAAAGATAGGGGTATATGCTCCGATAAAGATGTATCACCTCAGAAATCCTACATAAAGTCTCCATGAGTTGGAGTCGTTTCGATGGCAGTGGGCTTGGTTTGACAAGAGTAATATAGGCATTGCATTGCAAGAAGCAAAAGCAATATGTACTAGCATTGTACTATTGTAATAACATTGTGTTAATTATATGCATTATTATATGACAGAATTTTAAAAGTTATATGAGTATGTATATAACTTTTTAATATAACTTTTATATGTAGGAAGAAAAAGTAATATATATTAGTATACATTTATTTTAATACTATTTTTGTTTTATTTTAAACTTTATTTCAACATAACTATGCTTTATTAATACTATTGTGTTAATTATATTAATATATTACAAAATCAAAAAGTTTTATGAATACATAGATAACATTTGCTTTTTTTCCCCACTGATGACAACTTATTATATGTCGGCGGCACACAGAGCAACATCAATGAAAGCCGAATGGTGCCCACTTACAAGTGGACAGTGATTATGTATAACCATTCTCTGGGACACGGTGTGTACTCAATCATCACGTTTTTATAGTTTGTTTATCTTCTTGTTCTGTTCAGTCTCTCTGTGGAGACCCTCAACCTCCTTAGAATAAACGATCTCATCTTCACAGGTTTCTTTGAGGCGGCCAGCTGTTCTCTACTCTGTGCTCGATGTCTCTTTTGCCACCTCTCTCCTTCCGAGGGCCTCATAGGCTTCGTGGATGAAACGACTGCAGAGAGAGAGAGGTGGTGGGGGTGTGGGTGTGTGGAGGAAGGCAAAGGTAAAGATGCAGGGAAAAGGTAAAGATGCAGAGAGGGAGGCTGTGCATCAAGCTTAATGGAATGGTTCATGAGATTGTGGAGGCTGGCAAGTCCTAGGTAAGTGGCCATGCATCAGGAGGGAGACTTTGGACGCACAGGGTTGCAGGGGCTGAGAAATTCCGA